AGTGATCACTTAGCTCATTTGAATGAAGAGATCAAGTGGAACTAGTCTTGGCATCAGGCCTATCATAGATAAATATACCGTCGTTTTGTTTTAAAATAAGTATCTGATATTATCTTTTGATTACAAGATAAACATTCTGGCTGGTACAGGCTTCTGGTGAAGTGGATGTGGGAAGAGAAAGTTTGATGTGTTTCTAATATGCACTGGGTGGGATGAGTCTCTTGGGACCCAGAATCAGGCCCTCATAGGTAGCAATATTGGCCCTCTACAGCCCATAGCCACATTTGGAAGGAAATGGCTCCCCTAGGAAAAGAAAATACTTATCCCCTTGAGTTGAGCACTTAGAAAGTACCTCCATGGAAAGCACCTCCATGGAAAGCACCTCCAGCTGGAGTACCAACACTCAAACCTCTCCCCTGTGAGGCTCATCTTCTAGGACTACTCGGATTATTCCCATTTGCCTTCATTTCTCTCTCTCTCTCTCTCTCTCTCTCTCTCATTATATTTAAAAGAAGTTACAAATAAATACAAAATAAATTTTCCCAATTCTCTCTAACGAAACAACTACTAGTAAAATTTCTGTTAATGCTTCCAAATACTTTTTCAATGGAAATGTATGAATGTTCAACAATAATATTACCTGTTAATGTTTTTACCAAGAAAAAATTGTCAAGATTCTAGAAATGCTATTTGAAAAATATTTTATTTGAAATACTACTTTACAATGGTTTATACATTCTTCTAAGCTATCCTATGCTAGGAATCTGTTGTTGTAGTCATATCTTCTATTTCAATTAGGATAACTTTTTTGGTTTTCTTCTTTAAGTTTTAGCATTAGAGAGGTCTACTCTTTTCCTGCCCCATTTCTTGCCTTTTTAGTACTTTTGAGAGATGGTAATCTCAATTGTACAATAATTCTAAATTAACTTTAAAATCATATTGTTGTATTCTGAAAAATACTCAGAATTATGTAAAATGAATTTGGAAAAAGATGACACCTTCAATATTTGTTTAATCTTCCCCCAAAGCACATGCTTTTGTGTCCATTCATTCAAGTTTATTTCTACTCTATCAATAATACTTAAAGTTTTATTCCATAAAATTTCTCATTAACATATTAATGAGATGCATTAATTTTTAAGTTTAACAATTTAAATATTTAGAATTAAAATATTTGCTATGTTTTTGAAACCACTAGTTTTATATTATTACATTTTATTTGTTAAATTTCTCAATTTCTTAACCTTTCCCTTTAAGCTTTTTTAATTTCTTGATCCACAGATTACATCACTTGCAAATATGGTAGCATTTATTTATCCAAGCCACAAGTATTTATTTATATATAAATCTACCATATAATTTTTGAACAATGTTAAATTCTTATGATAATTTGGTTACCAGAAAAATGAAAGTTTTCCTTATTGAATGTTTAATATATACCAACTATATAAATATTGAATACTTAATATATTGAATATTTAATATATGCCAAGTAAAGTACTAATGATCTTACATACGTTGTCTCTAAACTTTTATGTTAAAACACAACAATCTGGTTATTTTTGTACCAATTTTACAAATGAGTAACTTGAGACTCAGAGAAACTGGGCTTTTTCCAAGGCCACCATCTGCCTTGCACTAAGTTCACACTTTCTAATAATAACAGACTTCCATTCTTTGAAGAAGCTTATTATTCAAATAAGGAGCTCTATACAGAGAAGAGCAGAATGGTATCTAGGTACTATGTTATAATTCTACACAAATACATTAAAAGTATATAAAAATAATAAAACATCTGTTTACCACTGTTGTAGCTGAGGGGATCAGGTAGATGAAAGACAGGTAGTAAAGGAAATGTTAAAAATGCTGAGCCACTGCTTGGTTCATGGTATATGTCTAATAAATATTTTTTGATTTGTAAGTTTCCAGACATATAAAAACAGATAAGATATTCCAAATAAGGGCTATCAGAATAAAAATATAGAGGCATAAAGCAGCCTATTGATTCAGGAATCACTCATAGTTCCATATGGCTGGAGCAAATTTTTATTGCTGGTGGGGAGAGGGTGGCAGTTAGGAGTACTAAGACATAAGAGATGAATACAGTGGTGATGTTATTAAGATACATGTTAAGGTTTTGGACTTTACTCTTACGCAATAAGAGCCATCCAGGACTATGAGTGTTTTACAATCAGATAGATTCTTTAGGGAGATCATTCTGGCTTTAGCATGAAAAAATGAGAAAAAAGAACAGTGAAAAATAAGATCAGGTTAGAGATATTGCCAGAGCGAAGAGAAGGGTGATGATGAAGGGCCAAAATAAACCAGCAACAGTGGGGAAGTAGAGGCAAAGATTGGATAAGCCAAAGTATAACTAGAATTGTCAGGACTTAGTATCCAATTACAGATAAAGGGGTAAGGAAAAATAGCTCATTTTTGTCTCAAGATTTTGTATGTTACTCAGAGATTCCACTAAAAAATGGTAAATAATAATGTCCAAAACTGACAAAATTACCATTTCCTTATTTTAGCTAAACATTATATGATCTAACAACACATTAAGAAAATATACAGAAATTTTTTTGATTTATTTTTATGTAGGATGGATTTTTTTTAATTTCATTATATACCTTTTCTGGAATCTACTATTGCTTACATATTTTTTTCATCATTTAACTCCTCTGTATGATGCATTATAACAAGAATTTTCTGAAATGTGTCATTTTTTAAATTCTAAGATATGTGTCAATTGCTCTTTGTCTATATTGCTAAACTGTATTTACAGCTTTTAGTATTTACGCATTTCCATTAGCATGTTAAATCTATAAAATTTTGTGATAATATAAATTTTTTTTTGTATCACTTGTCAGGATTATGTTTGCCCTTTTGCATAGCTTTCCAATTTTATTCATGATTTAAAATATATAAATGAAATTTGGGGGGAAAGTAAGAAAAAAGATCTTGTATTATAATATGTCAGAACTAGTGGGAGAATAATTGTTAACTTTTAATTTCTTCAATTTTTAATTTATTTACATTTTACAATTTTGCCCAATAAACAAATGTATTCAAGATTTCAAATTACTTATAAAACATTTTACTGTAATTTAAAAAATACCTCTAATCTAGTACTACATATAATTCTTGTTTTATTTTTCATTTGATTAGATTTTCCAGAGGTTTGTCTATTTTGTTAGCTTGCTAAAGGATTAGTTATTGGATTATTTTCACTCTTTCTCATTCATATGCATTAACTTCTTATATTTTAACTGTTTCCAATTATTTTATACAAAATTGTATTATTTTATAATATTGTAAATTGAATGCTTAATTCCTTAATTTTCTCTTTTTTCATTTTTCACACAAAATACTACTAAAATTTACTAAATGTTATTATTAATAAAAATTAGATTATTTAACACAATTTATATGCAATTACATTTATCTCATCTTAAAAGCTAGGTAGATAGTGTATTATTTGAAATGCAAACCAATAGCTATTGTATCATATATATATTTTTATTTTAACTAAGCTTTGACATAACCACATTATTTTATTTTATTTTTAGTGTGGTAATGGCACAGCATAAAAGTTACTCTCTTAACAAATTTCTAAGTGCATAATTATTGTCGACTATGGGTATAATGTAACACAGTAGATCTCTACAGCTTATCTACCTTGCTTAACTGAAATTTTATGCCCACTGATTACTAACTTATTCCCTCCTTCTTCCAGCCCCAGCAACCATCATTCTACTCTTTGATTCTATGAATTTAACTATCTTCTGTAGCTCATGCAAGTGAAATAATGCACTATTTGTCTTTCTGTGACTGGCTTTTTCACTTAGCATTAGGTCCTCATGGTCAACCATGTTGTTGTGTATTGCAAGATTTTCTTCTTTTTAAAGGCTGAGTAGAATTCTATTCTAATTTTGTATCCGTTTATTGGTTGATGGACATTTAGATTGTTCCCACATCTTGACTACTGTGAATAGTGCTGCAATGAACATGGAAGTATTAATATTTCTTTGAGATTCTGAGTTCAATTCTTTTGGATAAATAGACAAAAGTGAGATTACTGGATCATATGGTTAGAACACTGAAAACACAAGCAAAAAAAAAGGAAAACAAAAATAAACAAGTGGGACTAAATTGAACTAAAAATTTCTGCACAGTAAAGGAAACAATCAGCAGAGTGTAAAGGCACCCGATGAAATGGAAGAAAATATTTGTACATTGTATATCTGATAAGAAGTTAATCTCCAAAATATATAAGAAACTTTTGGAAATCAATAACAAAAGAACAAATAAAATGATTTTAAAATGGGCTAAGGAGTTGAATAGCCATTTCTCCAAAGAAGTCATACAAATAACCAACAGGTATTATGAAAACATGTTCAATGTCTCTAATTATCAAGGAAATGCATAGTGGAACTCCCCCAAAACAATTACTTCACACTGGTCAAGATGGCTACTATCAAGAAAACAAAGACAACAAGTGTTGGCAGGGATATAGAAGAATCTGGACCCTGCACAACGTTGATGGGAATATAAAATAGTGCATTCACTATAGAAAATAGTATGAAGGTTCCTCAAAGAATTAAAATACTTCAATAATATTTGGGGAAAGAATCCTTCATGCCTAATGACACTATTTCCATGGTAATAAGTAATTTCCTTTGTGACAATTCACTTTAAACAAGGATAATAGAAACATATGTGACAAATTGAGGGACTTATTATGAGAGTGTACATTTTGGAGTTAAAAAAGAGGAAAATTGAGCTTTTTTTTTTTTTTTTGCTAATTATGACTCCATTTACCCTGATAAACCTGTTGGCTTGAGTCTTAACTGGTGCCAGGATGTCATCAAACATCTGGTGACAAAAATCCTAATAGTAAGTGAGTGCCCAAAGACTGGTCAAAACAGGTCTCGAAAACTCAAATTTGCAGAATAAGAATAAATATCCTTTGAATCTTGGGCTTTCAGCATGATTCTTTCTTAATACTTAGTTCTCAGTAATATTTTGCAAAGCTTCCGACGAATCTCTTTGGTTTTGATGGAATAGATGACAGGGTTGAGCATTGGAGGCACAAAGAGATAAATAAGGGACATAAGTGTGTGCACATACTGTGGTGCATGCCTTCCATAGCGAGCCACCATGGACACACCAACCATGGGCACATAGAAGATGAGCACAGCAGACATGTGTGACACACACGTATTGAGTGTCTTTAGCCGTTCCTCCCGAGATGCAATGGCAAGTACAGAGCGTAGTATGAGCACATAGCTGAGGAGAATGAATGCAGAGTCCAGGCCAAAGGTAGAGATGACAATGAACAGACCAAAAATATTATTGATGGTGATGTCGCCACAGGGCAGGCGGATCAGATCTGGATGCAGGCAGTAGGCATGAGAGAGTACATTGGCTTTGCAGAAAGACAACCTCTTCAGAAGTAAAGGCAGTGGAAAAACCATGCAGACACTACGGATGATAACACAGATGCCCATGCATGCTACACGGACATCAGTGAGCACTGTTGCATAGCGCAGTGGGTTACAGATGGCCACATAACGGTCAAAGCTCATAACCAGCAGGATCCCAGACTCCGTGAAGGAGAAGAAATGGATAAAAAACATTTGAGCCATGCAGGAATCAAAGCTGATCTTCTGTAAATGAAAGCAAAATGTGGCCAGCACTGTGGGCAGTGTGGAAAAAGACACACCCAGGTCATTGACAGACAACAGAGAGAGGAAGTAATACATAGGCTGATGTAAGCTCTGCTCCTCCTTGATAATGAAAAGAATAAGAACATTGCCCACAATGGATACAACATAGAGGGTACCAAGGAGCAGAAACATCCAGTGTTGCAAAGTTTGCATCCCTGGGAGCCCTGTCAGGATGAAAGGAGGCAACTCTGAGTTGTTGTGGGGGTTATCTGCCATAATGGGATGAGTGTTTAGATTGTAGGACCACTATCCTGTAAAGAAGAGAAACTTAGTTTTATCAGTGACTTAGACCTAATATTTTAAGACCCTTATGTACCATCCAGCCTCTCATTTTATGGCATTAGTCATTTTTGTTCACCAAATCACTTATCCTTATCTCTCATTGTCACCAAGATTTCTGGACTTTGTGTTTTCTCGGTTATCCAGCTGACCAAACAGATTATGTTGCCTATTACCACCACGTATTAGTCATTTTTGTTCACCAAATCACTTATCCTTACCTCTCATTGTCACCAAGATTTCTGGACTTGTCTGTGTTTTCTCGGTTTATCCAGCTGACCAAACAGATTATGTTGCCTATTGCCACCACGCTCTTTCTCATGTATAAAGCTTTGAACTCTTTTCTTTATCAATCTATGGGCATCACTTTGTTCAAGACCTAAGACAAAACTCTCCTGATCACTACATTCTTGACTATCCTGCCTTCCTACTGAGTGTTCCACCTATTTACCTAACCATAAACATTTCCTCTTTCTACCGTCTTGTGTACTGAAATGAACCCTTACTATCTAATTATGACTCTCTAGCTTTCACACTTCTATAAAATCTCTCAGTTCTTTCATACATTCATTCAGACAGAAGATAGATGAAAAGATATTCATACGTAAAAATAACCTTCCAACATTAATCAAAATGCACTCTACTCCCATATTTCCACTCATCTTTTCATTCTTCTACCCATTTAACTTAAGATCTAACTTTTCTCCCTGTATAATTTAATTTACTGAATGAAAGTAATTTCTTAAACATTTTTTGCAACTAAATAGCACCTAGCTCTTGAAAGTCACTAAATTAGTAATCATTTCTCTATACTACAGAATTGTTTCTCATCAGTGTTCTCCATCTCTAAATAATACATCATTATGCCTAAACTGAGACTCAAAATCCAAACATCACTTTTACTCTTGCTATCCTTTACCTATCGTATTAAATTAGATAACGATCAATGAAAATATTGACCCCAAAGTGCCTTTGTCAGCTTCTTTCTCCATTTCCTTCAACCTTTGTCTTATACTTCAGACCAAAGGAATTGCATTCTTGTACCATAATAACAGCCTCCTACTCTCATGCCTCTCTCTATTTCATTTTCTAATCTGGAGTAGAACTAATATTTTTAAAGGCAAATTTTAAAATGGCTTTCTTTTGATTAGAAATCTTGAATGCTCCCCCATTACCAATGGAAAAACTCCAAACTCACTAGCATAGAATTGAAGGTCTCCTGTGTCAGTACTAAATCAATATTTCTGGTCTCAAATCTCAAAATTTCCTTCCTTGTACCTCAAGATATCCAGATAGGCATAATTTGCTGTTAGCCAAACATGAATCACAGCTCCCCAGCTCCTAGAGTTTGCCCAGAATGTGTGTACATACCCATTCAGTCCATAATCTAGGCCCCAGGATCAATGATGCCCTATTCTTTGGAAATTTGGCTGGTCACAGGCAGCAGAGGTAACTTCTCTCCCACTCCTCTCACAGCTATAGGTTTGCATCAACTCTACCAGTTTCTCTGCTTGCCCTGCATTACAGCTGTGTGAGTCCTATCTTTCCTCCTGACTCACCAGCTCCAAGAACCCAGCACTGACTCATTTATTGTTTCAGTCCCTTCCATGCTTAGTGCAAGGTCTTGAACAGGAGACCTACTCGGTAAGTCACTGATCCCTTCTGGGTTTTGGCTATCTTTATTGTTAATTGAAGATACTAAGAAACTTAGCTGAAGAGGTTGTGAAAATCCAAAAGTGGACAGTTGTGAAAACTCTTAGGACCAAAAACTTTGCAACTCTGAGTTCTAAAGCCTGCTCTACATCCTTACCTCCAGGCTGTCATTTGACTTTGCTTCTCCATCTGCCTCAGGACCTCTCTGTCCTTTCTTCTCAGGATGCATTTTTTTCTCCATTCCATACCCTGAGGACTCCTTTGTTTTTCCTTCTTGAAAATGCTTTGTAAACATTTCTGTTTGCCCCTGTATGCCATATACACCCTTGATTTGGAGTCTTTCAGCACTTAAATCCTGCCAAGTAGCTCCCAAAGCAGCTAGTGTCTGTTTATATACCGCCCCCACCCCTGCCCCATACCAGATTATTCTGAGAAAAGTGTGAGGTATTTTTATTCACATCAAGACATTTGCATCTGAAGTATAACCGATAAGGTGTCCCTGGTGGGAAACTAATGTCTGAGGCAGAAAGCATGGCAGGATTTCAGAGAAAAAGAGCAATGGATAGAACATATAGAACTGGAAAAGTGATGAAGGTGAAAGCGTGCAGGAAAAAATCAAAAACAAAAGCCTGACTCAGATTAGGGGAAGCCTTTTCTCCTTCAGATGGTCATATTATCGCAATAAGGATTTCTAAACTAGGGGCAGAATGCCGTCGAGCCTCGGTCTGGCATGTCTGACACTCCAACTTACCTCCCTAGGAGAGCTCTATGGAAGGAAGGCACAGAAGAGGGAAGAGCAGTTAGTGGGAGTCCTGCATAATCTGCTCATAGCTTCCGGTTACCTCCGCCAACTGCCTGGCCTGAGCGATATAAGGCTGCATCCAGGAAGTCCCTTGAGCTTCTATCAGCTTAGGAGCTCGTGGACTGCTGGGAATATGAAGCATCTAAAGTACTCCACACCTCTCTGACTTAGTACTTCACTGCTCATAGAGAGGAGCGAGAAGATCAGAACTGTAAGGGACCTGCAAGAATATTCTATCTAGCCCCTCATTTCATAGAAGCCGTTAGAGCCAAGAAAGAAAAAAAAAGAGGTCTCAAATTTACACAGCTTGTCAATGGCAGAATATTTAAACCTAGGTCTTCTAATTTAGCTTATGGCCTTTCTATTCTATAACTATAATCGATAGCCACAAGAAATGCTGAATTCTATGAAGAGGGCTTCAACTGCTTATAAATTAGTGTTAACATTTGAATGTATTAGAACATGAGAAAGTTCCAAGCATGGTTAAGGAATGCTGGTTCACTGTGGCTGGCCACACACACGGTATAATTCTAAGTCAAATTATAGAAAGTTTTTGCCCTGGTTAAGAAGATGTTGAAAGCACTACACTATGCTACCTTATTCACATATGTTTACTGAATACCGACTAGAGTGACGACATAAGTAAGAAGAATTAGGTGGCAAAGTTTGGAGCTAGATAAACCCGAGTTTGTGTCTAGGATTCACCACTTACCTTGAGAAAGTTTCCAACCCACACACATCCTCATTTCTTCACCTGTAAAACAGGTGATAGTCATACTTAGATCATAGAATGATTGAGATGATTAAACCACATAAGGCATGCAAGGCATTTGGCCTATTGGCTGCCATATAGCACTTAACAGATGGTAATGATTGCTTTTAAATCCCAAACATTGGGTCCTGAAAGTAAAACAATTTGGAAATGGATATTTACCTAAGTGTTCAACACTAGAAGAATAAATTCTTGAATAGTTTGAGCAACTTATTTCTAGGAAAACACTAGCAGATATAGCTGGAAAGAATAGTGATTAGTAACAGGAGACACAGACTTGAAAGGATTGGGGAGGATAGTAAAAGAAGTTGAGTTTAGAAAGAACTTCTCAGACACCTAATGTTTGTCTTAGACTAACCAGGCTGAAAATGCAGTAGCTTTTCAACACTTACACTCATACATAAGTCAGACCAAAGAATTCAGTGCATTACCTAATACACACCTAGATCTTCTCACAGTCACTCTGATTATCATAGGAAGAGTCAGGAAATCACCCAAGCCCTGATCAATACACACGGGTCTTTCTGAATTTTATGACACTTTTCTTTAGTCATAGTCAATGTCTTTAAATTTTCCCACTCAAAAGAGAAAAAAAAAAAAAAACCTGTCTTTTCATTTATGACAAGGTCACAATCCCTACCCTAAGGGTTTATGGTATAAGGTGTATGTTAACGAAAGTATAAATGTCATTCAACATTAGACACAATTTTGGTCATGGGAATGTGTAGAAGAAAAGTATAACAATTACTGTTTTAGTTCAAGACACCTCTAAGGAAACATAATAGCTCAGTGTATGCATTTTATTAAATACTTTTTACTTTTCTTGATAACTTCTTCCTGACATCTTCTGTTCTCTTGCTTCTGTCTGGATCAGTTGCTTCCCAGCTCTCTTATGCAGCTGGTGTCAAGAAATTTGTCCTACTGCTTTTCTGGGTCAGTATCCTGTTTCTTGGATCACGTGGGTTTTTGTTTCTTGTTTTTTGTTTTATCTTTCATATTTGTTTGCTGAGGGGCTTCTTCCTTCACATTTTATTTTAGAAAGCTATTTTTTTTTTAATTGGAAACCATTTTTTCATTTCTTTGCAATACTTCTTTCCTCTCCTTTTCTAGCTGTTTATAGAGAAACTTTCTTGTGCTGTACACTGTGTTAAGCATCCTAAAAGTCTGGCACGAGTTCCCCTGTGTGTGCTGGGTGAGGGGGTCCCACACAACCAAGCAATTATCAGACCGAAGCTGGGTATCCTACAATTCAAATAAATCTGACACTATCTACCCTGAGCTAGCATCAGATCTCACAGGTTAAGGGCTCAGTCCCACAGGACTGCCCTACTCTGATCTGTGTAGGAGCTATGATGAGCCATAATGTCCTCTCACCAAACTCTCTTGTAAATAGGCTCTTCTTGTAAATATGCCTCTTTCTACCTATTCCCATCTGTGATTGAGACCTGTCTGCATAAGCTAAGGCAGCACCTCCTCTCCTTTCCTCCCAGCCGAGCAGGGCTTACCTGCCCCCACACCACCACGACCTCTGACTCTTAAGATCCCCTGAGGAATGGGTTCCAAGGACCCTCTGGCAGGTGAAGAATGTGAGCGCCTAGGGGACCAGTACTAGTAAATGGTAAGCCAGGAATATAACTCATTCTTCTTAACCTTCGGCTCCAGGGTTTCTTTTCCCCAAGCAAAATCCTCATTCCAGGGTCCTCTTAAGAA